TATTTCCTGTCCTGGTGGTTGAATCCAAGGATGCGGAACCTGCAGGTATGAAGTGCTGGCTGTGAAAATGTTCACAGCATGGAGGACTCACCCAGGAAGCTTGCTACAATGCAAGCCTCCAGCCCTACCCTCAGAGATTCTATTTTCAAAGCTTTCAAGTAGTCTGCAAATATGCGTTGCAACCAGAAGCCCTACAATCCTGGTGTTGGTCACTTGGGACCCACCTTTCAGGAAATCCTGCAGGAGTTGGAGACATCTGATTCATGGAGACCAGCCCACCACCCGCTACCCCAGGCCAAACAATGATGCTGATACTAGGTGCAAAGGTGAATATTAGCCTCTGGTTCTTTTCCTCTTATCCAGCACTAGGGCAGGCCCACCACAGTTCCAAGAAGAAGAGAGAGGGAGGCAAGCATAGGGGGCAGAAGGGTGCTCTGAGCTGCTTTCAGGACTCTTATTTTATCTCTTCATCTTCTCTCCTAGAGTGGGTGCAGCAGAATATATGAGGAAGCCCCACATGAATTCTGACTCCACCCCCAAGCAGCAGGGTCACCAGCAAGTCACTTGTACACTCTGCCCAGCTCCAGCAACTGTACAACAGAGGAAAACTCCCACTTGCACAACAGAAGAGACAGGTTGAATACCCTCACAGGCATGTGGTGGCACACACCTGTAACCAGCTACTCAGGAGGCTGAGGCAGGAGGATTACAAGTTTGAAGCTGGCCTGGGCAACTTAGTAAGACCTTCTCTCACAATAAAAAATAGAAGATGTGAAATAAAAATAAAATAAACATGACACAGAAGAATAAAGTTACTCAGATTTTATACACTGAAAATAGGTAAATAAAAAGGGCTGTGGGTATAGCTCAGCTGTAGAACACCCTGGGTTCCATCCCCAGTAACACACACACACACACACACACACACACACACACACACACACACGAATTGAGCTTTAGTTTCTCCAACTTTTGTGTAACATCCCCTACGTCATAAGGTTGTAATGATAATTACATGAGTCAAAACTGGCAAGGCATTTGGAATCATGCCTGGCATTTAATAACAGCAAGGCAGGGGCCAAAAGCCAAGAGGAATTAAAAGACAGGATGGTAGGCGGCTGCAATGCTCTGCTAAGCTGGGCTAGTAGGACAGTCTGGGTCACCAAAGGGCCCAGAGGGAGTGGAGTGTGATGCTGCCCACCTAATCCCAGCACCCTAGGAGGCTGAACAGGAGGACTTAAATTTAAGCCCAGCCCAGACAACTTAGCCAGATCTTATCTCAAAATAAAAAAGGGCTGGGGATGTAGCTCAGTGCAAAGGCTCTGGGTTCCATCCTCAGTACTCAGTGAGGAGGGAAGGCCGTCCAAGAACGTAACTCCTGGCTTGCCTGAGGTGGGAAGCTAAGGCCTAGATGCACAGAAAGCTGGGATTTTGGATTACTTTCTGCAACAGGGAAAATCTACATGTCATGATTAGAAAGCTGTTTTGTCTGGCTGTGCACCAAATTTAAAACAAGCTTCTGAAATCACAGATCTGTCCTTACCTGGGGCTTCAGTCATCACTTCTCTGAAGGTCCAGAAACCTGAGGGCTGAGAGGTGAACAGAAACATCTCTAGGGCCGGTCACATGTGACAGAAGCAAGCATGATCCCTCAGACGACACAGCCCCTCAGGCCTGGACAAAGATGAGGGTGCCAGACAGAAACACAGGGTCCACAATCACAAGAGGTTCACCCACAGAACCTGCTGTGAGCGGGATTGTGGGGCAGCAAACTCACACACACAACACATTCTGCCACAGAAAAAGCAAAAGGACCAAGAACAAGTGGGGTCAAATAATTAGAAACATAAAAGGCATTGTTGAAAATATAACAAAGAACAGCGCCTGCCTGGCAAGCACAAGGTCCTGAATTCGAATCTTAGTACACACACACAAAAATATATATATATATATGAAAGAAAAAAGATTCTCATTTAAATCAGATTCTTTTTTTACTAAGAGGCAAAAGATCTATTGAATCTTAAGAAAATCCAGAGTATAGTAATCAGATTTATCTACCTATCCATTTGTTTACTTAAGACAGAGTCTCACTGTGTTGCCCAGCCTGGTCTCCAACTCCTAAGTGCAAGTAATCCTCCTCTCTCAGCCTCCTAACCAGCTGCCTACAGGTAGGCACCACTGGACCTAGCTCATATCAGACTTTTAAAAGAACCAAACAGAATTTTTGAAAGTAAAAATATAGGGACTGGGGATTTAGCTCAGCGGCACAGCACCTGCCAGACAAGCGTGAGGTCATGAGTTTGATTCCCGATACCGGAACCCCCTCCCCCGCCAAAAAAGTAAAAATATAGTGCTAAAAATTAAGATTTCAATGGATGCCTCAACAGACCAGATCCAAAGAAGCAAACAGTGAAATGAAAGGTAGATGTGAGGAAATTTCTCACATGTGGCACAGAGACAGCGCACGCGAGAGGAGATACCAAAGAGAGCAGAAGCACAGAACAGGAGGGCCTGTGAGGGATTCCAGAAAAATCCAACATCAGGGATAGGCAAGAGTAACATACCAAGAGCTGATGTCTAGGAAAGTTCTAGAAATAAACACACAGGAGCGCTCAGAGCCAGGACAAAAGAATCTAGGAAGGAATGAAAGGTACCAAATGTGCCAGCCTGATGCTGCAGACCCACATGGGCTGGGCCCCTGCTGCCTGGCCTGTGCCCCGCTGTGGCTGCTATGCTTCTGCACGCCCAAGTTTTCCCACACCATGGTGCTCTGCCACACTGACCGCTCAGCATGCAGCAGATCCTGAAGCTTACACCCTCAAGAGGCACGGGCAGTGTCGTGAGGTCCCAAGACCACTGGCTGGAGGGGAGGGGAGGTTAGGCTAAGGCTCCTGAGAACCTGGAAAAGCCCAGATGGGCATAAGGCCTCAAAGAGGAAGAGCCAACCTGGGCAGCCAAGGGGCAGCAGAGAGGAGCACCTGGCTCAGGGGACGGGAAGAGCAGCACAGGGCTTTCTAGAAGCGTTTAGGAGACGATGTTGGGAGAGGTGAGGGGCTGAGAGAAGAGCAGCTTCAGCTCAAGCTAGGGGCCTTTCCAGGCCAACAGGAAGGCGCCATCTCTGAGGGGACAGACCCTAGAGAAGGGCAGGCAGATCTACAGCTCTGGTTATAGACGCAGAAGGCACAACTCCCGCTCTGGCTACAGCTGGGAAGCTCTGCAGTCCAGCTCCACCTGGGAGGCTGGAGGAGCAGGCTGGGCTTGCCACGGCCAGCTACCTGTCTTTTACTTCCTCCTGGCTTTTGGCCCCGCCCTGCTGTTATTAAATGACGGGCATTATCCCTGCAGGCCTTAGTCATTACCATTACTCCTAACCACCCTGATGAAGCAAGATGCAATTACTGTCCTCATCCATAGGTGAAGAAACAGGGGGTCAGGCAGGTTAAGCAGTCCGCTTAGGTACCTAGCTAGGAGGTGACAGAGTGGAGATTCATACCAGGCCCCTATGACCCTGGTTGCCTGTCAACCACAGTATCAGTATGGCAGAGAGCCCTGCACATTGAGGTAAGCACAGCCATACCTGTGATCAGTGCAAGAATCCAGAGTGTTCTACTGAGGGCCACATTTAACAGCTCACCAGCCTAAGGATACCCAAGACTTCCTTCAAAATGAGCAGCAATCTTCGAGTCCGTTCGCTGGCAGAGGAGATGCCTCTCTCATCTCGGCTAAGTATAGCAAACACCTGTGTATGCTAACACAGTACCTGACTGCCCAGGGCTCTGGAGTGGGGCAGGGAGGAAGGGGCAAAAGATCACAGGATCCCTGTCCTCTGGGGACACCGATTGGGTGCTACAGAGGAGGACGGGAGCAAGAGACAAACAGGTTATGGCTGAGGGCTTTCTGGAAGAGGCAGTGACCAAGCCCATCCTGAAGACAAGTGTCACTCAACTTCTTGGGCCACTAGCCCAACTCGGAAGTCCGCAATCTAGATGCACCTGATGGCTGGCTGTTCACAGAAATGCTCTATCTTCCCAGGCTCAGGGCCTAGGCTCCAGCAGTAACTATCCCGGAAACACTCCTTTGCCAGACACACACCCCTGCCTGCCTGTGTAATTCCTTTGCCTGTCCAGGCCACCTGGGGAGTAATCCTCGCACTGCCTCCCCAGGCCACCTGTCCATCTCACCATCACCCCCAAGGCAGACTGTGCTCTCGTCCTCTGGGTCTCCATGACACGTCCGTGGCTCTCAGTTGGCGCTTACATTCTAGGAATGAGACACACACACGTGCATCACTTGCGCACACCGGTGCACACACAGAGAGCTGCACTGTCTCCCCTGCTGCGCTCTGTCATAAATAGCTGCTGAACTCAATCAAGTGGGATGCTCTGCTTAAATGCTTAGTGTCGCGGCACAACCATGGGGCTACAATGTTACGACTGATTCAAAGCAAAAGATACATATGACACGATTCAGATGAAAGAGTGCAATGTAAAGGGGCTTCTTGGCTGGGTGAACCCCAAAACCACTCTACCTTCACCCTTCCATCCCCTCCTCATCTAAACACAGAGACCAGCCACACCTGGCAGGCACTGCTCATCACAGGGAAATTGTGACAATTCAACAAGATGACAATCAGGGAAATTGTGACAATTCAACAAGATGACAATCAGGAAGCACCGACATGGCCAGGGCCAGCCCAGCCCAGCAGCTGGTCCAAGGGCACAGACACCGTGTCATCTCTGTTCACAGGCAGGCGGGCAGGTTCCATCGCTTGGTGTTTTCCAAAACTCTTTGGCCATGGAGCCACAGAAAGAAGTAATCCTCACACTGGGGCACAGAATATAAAAGGTATACACAGTTGCCACCACTGTGATAGAAGTCCCATGCTCGTCCCCATGGCAAGGAGGCACAGGGATGCTATCTCTTCTATGTCTTTCTCTGTCATTTCAGACCCAACCACAAACCACCCACAGGGCGGCTGGAAAAGGCCGGCCCGCACTCACCTAGCGTGTCGGAGCCGCTCTCCACCGTCTCGTTGACCTTCCTCGCAACTCTGGCCACAGCCTCACCCATCTTCTTCAGCATGCAGACTCGGGTGTCCTGCTGCCAGCTCCCAGGCTGGTCTGCTGTTCACAAAGGGGCCTGTGCCTGGCAAAAACATAGGGCCATCAAACGCCCACCTGCCGGCCAGAGTCCACCCCCAGCATCCTCCTGTCCAGACACCCAGGCAGCCAGGAAGCCTACAGGGAGGGGCCCAGCCACTCACCTCCTCTTGGGGGACCCAGAGCCCAGGCCACATCCAGCTTGGCCTTTGCAGGGGCTGGTCTGCTGGTCACAGGGCGAGGGCAGCTGGGCAGCTGCTTTTCTGGGAGGATCAACATGTATGACCTCACCAGACACAGGGCCCCTGGCTTGAACCAGTGGCCAGGCAGGTGTGGGGACTCAGGTGTGCGCTGCCTGTGACTCAGCAGGCAGGATGTTGAGCAGGAGGCGAGACACAGTCAACTGCAGGGAAAGGCACATCCCAGAGTCTCTGAGCCGCGGCCTATCCACACAACTCCTCCAGCTCCCCGTCCTTTCCACCCGCACCTGCCAGCAGGAAGTAGGGGCACCCTGGCAAACTGCAGCCTGCGATCTGGCAGGTGAGAAGCCTCTAGGAATTCCCTTCCCATGTGCCAAGAACAAGGGATAGTTACAGCATTGGCCTGTAGACCGGACTCTCGCCTGATGCTAGGGCTATCGACAAGAAATGGGGACGGGCCAGAAATGAGAGAAGGAAACTGGATCACGAGGGAGAAGGTTTGACCGCCCTCTTTGGTATCTCCTCTCGAATGCCCCTTCCCAGGCTTGAGGAAGAGTGAGGAACACAAAATTCTAAGGTGTTAGAATTACAAGTAGTAAGCATAAAGCCACAGAAATGTCCCAAACTCCCTGTTTATTACAGAGAAGGAAACTAAGGTATAGGGTGGCTAAGTCACCTGACCAAGGTCAAAGGGAATAAGGGAGTTTGAAGTGAGGTCAAACCAGCTGCACACTCAGGGTTCACTGGTTTACAGAAGTCACCCACATCACCAGCAGCAGCACCCCTGGAAAGAGGAAAGAACTGACACCAAGGTCAGTGCCCTCCAACCTGCCCCAGGCCCAAGCCCCACTTCCCAGGCAGCTCAGGTTGCTCCAGGGAACTAGCTCCAAAGGCTGAGGGCAGAACAGGAAGGGCAGAGAGGAGGGGCCCAGGCACAGTGCTCCGGGCTGCTGCAGACACAAGAAAGAGTGCCAAGGACTCGGGCAGGGCAGCGCCTGCAGAGGCAGTGGTGCACCACACGTGTGTGTTTCACCAAGGAGGCTGGCCCCGTGGGTCCGAGACTGCACTGCAGCAGGAGGAGACTGCATCTGGAGAGGGGCCCAATGCCCACCTCTCCATTCAGCAGCTGAGAAGCCTTGACAGAGTCTCCTAACTGCTCTGAGCCCAGTTCCTTGATCTGAGCAGGATATCTAGTGACACCTTGCTGAGTTCATAGGACTGATCAAAACATACCGACCCGCCTAGCTCAGAGTCCAGGACACATAAATACTCAACAAATGCCCCTGAGAGAACGCAGCAGCACACGTGCAGTCTATCACCTGTGTGACTCTGAACAAACAATTCAGGACTCATCCTTAAGGAATGAGTAGAATTCCCATCTCTCCACCTTCAGAAAGTCTTCCCTGCCTGCCCCGGCCCTGTGTTCTCTCCTCCCTCTGAGGTTCAGTAGCACTCGGTGACTTAGCATAAGTCACCTAGGCTGTTAATTAGCTTTAATGCACTCACACACATGCGCGCACACATGCACACAGCTCTCCCCCAGTGAGCTATGAGCACATCTACATTGCCCACTGCATCACACCAGACACGGGTGCTTAGCCTCCACTGCAGGGATAATGATGGTCAACAGACATCACTTGGGTTTCAAACCTGAGTACCAGTCAAAGGTCCCTTACAACGTATCCAAGACCCAGTCTAAGTGGGAAAGAGTCATCAATTCCAGTACCTTCAAGTGCCAAATGTACAAACTGCGTAAGATGGGACAGAAGGACAGCAGGGAGCAGGAAAGCCAGTGGCAAAATGAGCCCAACACCTTCTCCACGCTGCCTGTAAGGTGATCCCCCTAAGACCCAGTCATGGCAATGTCGCTAGCATCTTGGTAACTGATCTAACCCCTGTATGAGTAGGGGAACTGAGGGCCCAAGAGGGGAAGTGGATGGGTTAGACAGAAACACAGAACACAGATCTCCGAATTCCAGCCTAGGACTCTCCCCACCACACCATGCCCCCTTCTTTCCTCATCTCCAACACTCATCATCAAAAATCAGAAGCATTTATTGGGCATCTATTAGGATAGGGCGTAAGAATGAAAGAGAAAATACAGAACATAGCTTAACTCTGATTCAGATGAAGAACTTTCTGAAGAACAGCACTGAAACCATTCTGGTCTCACAGCAGGGAGGAAGGAGAAAGAAATCAAAGTGCCACCCCACCCCCACCTTGGTGGGACAGGCTAGGCTCACTTCAGTCCATCAGACACTATGCCTGCAATTCTACTAGCTGCCACCAGGTGGGGTGGTACCTTCGGCCATTGATGAAAAACGAGTCCTATTAAAAACCTCATCCAATGGGTGGCAGAGACCTACCGTATGGGTGGGAGTGGACACAGGTGCATGAACAGGAACAGCATAGAAGGCCTGGATGACAGAAGAGTTTACTAGGAAGAAGGGCTCCATACCTTCCAGAGGATGCTCTGGGGACAACAGAGGTGCCCAAAAGGGGATCTAAACCATCACCTAAAATGTTACTGGTAGCTGCCTAAAATCACCACCCTTGCTGCATGGATAAGAACTCACACTTTCTTCACCTAAAACTACCTCTTTCCCCAAAGGGAGAATTGCTCCATCAAGTCCAGCTGCCAGTCCCTCTCCCAGGCCAGATGACCAAAGCCTGCCCTCTTCCACACAGGCAGGGGTCCAGACTGAGGGACGAATTACACCTGTAATTATAGCACTCAGGAGGCTGAGGCAGGAGGACTGCCATGAGCTGGAAGCCAGCTTGAACTACATAGCAAGACCCTCTCTCAAAAAAGCAAACAAACAAAAATTTATTTAGAGAGAAAGGCTGGGGGTGTAAAGAAAGCTATTTTCTTTGCTGTTGTTTTGGAGAAAAACAGAAAACATGTCCAAACCAAACAAGTGACAGTCATGGTCCCACCTAGGACTGAGGGCAGATTCCTCCCCCCCCATGTAGAGCTGTCCAGGGGGTGATGGCTCCTGTCTATTAAACAGTTTGAGGGGCTGGGGATTTAGCTCAGCGGCAAAGCGCCTGCCTGGCAAGTGCAAGGTCGTGAGTTCGGTTCCCCGTACCGGAGAAAAACCAAAAAAAAAAAAAACAAACCAGTTTGAGTCAATGTATGGTCTACTAATTGCAAGTCAGTACCATCTGAACAATGAGACCTCAGGCAGCCCCTCCAGGAAACAGAACCCAACCACAAGGCCCCACAACAACCCTACTAAACTCCTTGAGGCATCTGGTAAACCCTATGTGTGGAGTGGTGGTGGCCAAGACTCAGAGGACACCTTAAAGCGGGGAGACAGGAACCATGGCCCACGTGGGTCTTATCTAGGCTTGGACACTCCAGCTATACTGCCCCTCGGGCCCCAGGTGCTGGAGGGCAGGGGGCTTAGGAAATGTCAAGGCAAGAACTCCAAATCCCAGAGACCCTTCAACATGGGGTCTAGGCACGTACTTACACTGCTGCTGCGCCCCATGGCCCTCAAGCATGCCACTTCCTATTTTCCCAGTGTGCACCGGGATCCAGGAAATGTTTAAATCCATCATCTCTTGGGCACCTCCTACACCACCCACACTGCAGAGAAAAGGGGCAGAGACAGGCTGTGGGCTGGAACAAGCTTCCCACTGGGAGGCAGAATGAACCAGATGCTGCCACAGGGCTGACACCAAGCCTAGATGGCCATGGCAGCACGTGACTGGGGGCCTCCCTGTCAAGCTGTCCTCTGAGAGCAGAGTTTTGGAAAGTTATATGCCGTGAAGCGGCCTCATTCATACAACGGAAATGCTACCTTCCTCAGCTGCATGACGGTGAAAAGTCGGTCCTGAGGAAGGATTGATTGCGCAGACCATTACGGCTTCCACAGGAAGGGACTACCAGTAAATATGTGATCAAACAAGTGCAGACAGGAATCTGGATATAACTGAAGGCCCAAAAAGAAGGTGTTCTGCTTGGCGGGAGCTGGCAATCCTTCCTCCTGTTCAGCCAAATCTGGACCTGGATTCAAAGTTGGGTCGGGGGTTACGCCCTGACCATGGCCCTCTGGCCCTTACCAGCAAGAACACTGCCTTATCTGCAGTCCCCAGATCTCTGCAGAGGAGCTGCTGCGACACCCTGTCCGCACCAGCTGCTCCTATATTTAGTTACCGGTGTGGTCAGTCGGGAACTTGAGAGCCTGGCAGGGGCTCAGCGCGTCAACCCGAGCCTCCGAGCAGTGCGTGCAAGCTGCCCCCAGGGCTGCGGCGGGCTGGGCCTCTCGACCACGCTAGGCTGGAACCCGGCACGGAGGTGTGCGGCGGTGGGCTTCCTCCGACCCCAGCACCCCCAGTTAGGCTCACTCGAGGCCAGGACAGGGCTGACCCACTTTCCCAGCCAGGGGAAAAAGCCCGCTGGGGCGGGAGCAGATCGGGCCGGCGCCTTGTTTTTGCACCCTAGGATTTGGGGAGCCGCGAACGAGCTCCCTGCGTGCGCTTCTCTGCGAACCTCCCCCTCCAGGACTACACGCGGGCCGGGCCAGGGTTCCGGCGCCTGGCCCCAAGGGCCCCGCACCCCTACGCCCTCAGCCAGTGGCGCCGGTACCCGGTCCCGCCTGCCTGGCAGGCGGAGACTGAGAACAGAGCCGGAGGACTAGGGTAGCCGGTGATCGCGGGGGCCGGGGACTCCCCGGGGGGGCTTTCCTGGGCGAGCGCCGGCAGCTCCCCAGAGCGGAAGCAAATCCCGAAAGTGTGGCTTCGGGGACGAAATACACCGGCAGCCTCTCCCAGTACTGGCGCCGCCTCCCTCAGGGAACGGCGGCCCCCAGGCCCGCAGCGCGGCCCGGCTCCCCGCTCCCGAGTCGGGACCAGTCGCACCGCTCGGCCTGCGCCGCATCGGCTTCCCCTGGGGGAGGGGAGGGGACGCCGCAAACACCGGGCGCTCCGCTCCGCCTGTCCCCCAGCCCCTGCCACGCCAGGCCGCAGACCACGTTTACTGTGCGGGGCACGAAGCGCGTGGCCCGGATGCGGGCCGCTTTCGGCTCCACTTACGGCGACAATGCCTCCTAGCGCCCTGCGCTGCGCACTCCCGCTCCCTCGGCCGCCGGTGGCGCCCCATGCGAGTTCCCAGACTGTGGGGCGGGGCGCGGGGGCCGAAGGGGCTGCCTCAGGGCCGCTCGACCAATCGTCGTGCCAGAGTGGGGGCAGGGGCGGGGTGGGCTCAGGAGCGCAACCAATCGGCGAGCCGCTCTGCATGCGCGCTCCCGAAAACAGGGAGGAACCGCTTTGTGCGCGGCTTCTGAAAGGAGAACGTTAGGGGATTGGGGAAGTTGACCTTAACTTGCAAAACGTTCTAGGATCCTGCGGACCTGAGTCTGCTGTGATTTTCTGGAGAAAATGGAGCTGAATTAGTCAGGTTGGAGGTACTTTGAAAAATGTGACGATAGAGCGTGGAGAACTTTTCGTATGGCACCCTGGGGCGCCCATTCAGGTGTTTTTAGAAATTCTGGCCAGTTGCTTAATGATCTCTGGAGAACCCAGTGTTCCCATCTGTAAAATAAGAATTGACGTAGGCCAGGGGTGGTGCTGGGCACCTGAAATCCTAGCACTCAGGAGGCTGAGGCACGAAGATCGCTTCGATCTGGAGGCAAGCCTGGGCTACAAAATGAGTTAAAAGCCAACCTGGAGCACATAGGGAGGCCATATGTCAAGAAAAGGAAAGGAAAGGAGAGGGGAGGGGAGGGGGAGAGAGAAAGAAAAGAAAGAAAAGAAAGGGGAGAGGAGGGGAGGGGAGAGGAGGGGAGGGGAGGAGCGGACATATATATACACATACTTCGGAGACTTATTGTGGAGATTGACGCGTGGAGTGTTTAGTGCAGTGCTCATGCCCGTAAAGGTAACTGCCTCCCTGTCCTTCCTTTAAGGAAGATTCCCTATACCCTTTATTAGTCATGTGGGAAGAAAAAGAGACAAAGGAAATAAGGCCCTGCTTCAACTGTTCACAGTGACAAACCTGTTAGAGGCTTTATAAACACAGACATACATTAAATATGCATAGGTCTGGAAAAAGGCTTTTTGTGAAGGGTTTGTTTTGCTTTGTTTTGTTTGGGAGTTTTAGGATTTATTTGTTGGTTGGTCCTAAGGGTTGAACCCAGAACCTTCACTGACTTATATCCCTAGCCTTTTTATT